GTTTGTGTCCCCACTTCATTTCTATCCTGAATCTAACAATTCTTTATTTTATTTTCTCAAGATTTGGGTTTCACAGGACATACTTTGATTGGCAATTTGGACAGGTGGGCTATTTTCTTGACCAACCCTACTTTAGTCTAAGAAACGGGAATTTTTTTTAGCCAAGTCAATCAGCAAATTCACCGTCGAAATTTGAGCCTTAAAATCCATATGTGTCCAGAATTATCCGCGTTTTATTGTCAAAACGACGACGTCATTTTCAGATACTCTGTGATATAAAAAGGACATAATGCATGTAAAGAAAGAGTAAGTAAAATTCATAGTTTCAAATATATATTCGAAACTAGAATAGCGCATCCGTCCCTTAAAAAAACTTACTTTTTGGACAGGTCTTTTGTAGAAAACTTATTAGATTACAATGTAGTCTAAACAAATTAATAAAACAAAACAGATACGAAATTGAAATCTCATTGAATTAGAATGTATTAAATCAGTCTGTATCCTATTTGTACCCCCAGTCTCTGGAGGCTAGCGCCACGACAGCAAAATGACAGGAGTTACTCAAAATCACGAAACATCAAATAAAATTACCAAGTAAAAAAAAATATCAAGTACAATTTGAAACTGTACATGTGGTTGAGGATAGTAAAACTGTTCGGCTATTGCTTTTGAGTGTAGGTGAGAAAGGTATTGCCTGAAACTTTTACCGCTAATCTTGTCGTGACATCAATAGTACCGGTAGTAATTAGTATAGTGAATACAGTTTTGTTTAAACAATTAATCCATCAAATAATGACGATACTTTGTTAATATTACATTAAAGATGGGTTTCCTTATTTTTTTAGGGCCAATTAAGCAAACTATTTCATTAATTGACGTGTCTAATGAATTATTATGTATTCTTATAATCATATCATTATGTTTTTAATGCATATACTTAAGAGTTTTAACCAATCACATTGTCCATGATGTATGTACAGTCTTGATAAACAAAAAAAAACCTTTTAGACCTTTCTTGATCGGTCATTCATTGGAATTCTGCTGGTAATTCGCTTCTAATTTAGCTAATTATGAATTAATTATGGACATGTGAAACAAACTGGTATTTTGCCAAGTCATTAGAACACCTCTACTTTCTATTTATATAAGTATCAGTATATTCATTTTCATAAAGGATAATAAGGGAATCCGTCTTTAAAACGGTGAGATTTTGAGTAGCAAAGGAAAAACTTGAACTTTTCATTAAGTGGACGTTTAAGACCACCCAAAAATCAAAAGCAAATTCAGTTCGTCGCCGCTGGATACTCGATGAGTAGTTTGGTCGAATCTTGTAACTTAACCAGAAAGTTGAAAAAGGCAATTTAAGAAAATTATATTACTGATCTTAATGCCTTTAGGTTGAGGACAGATGGAAGTAGATGTCTGTCGAATCATATATATTACTCGATAGCTTGACAGCAGTTGTTACAAATTGTTTTTCATAGAAGTATATAAGTCAAAGGCGAACGCGAGGTCACTCCAATGATGATGAACATGTGAGATCGATATGCGCTGTTCGTCGCCTGAGAAATTCATCAAGAATTGAGAATATCTATGAATATCGTTTCCAAAAACCTGAACACTGACTAGAATGTAACAATCAACACCATAAAATGTATTTGTGCAGGGAACTGTAAATTGGCTACTCGGATTCTTCTTGGTAGGTATTCCCTTCCTTCGGGAACAGAGGTAGGACGGCAATACCAAACCAATTCATAGATAGCATAGCCTACGTCAAAAAGCTTATTTGATAAAAAAAAAAATAGTCTTACGATCCAAGCAGATAAACGAAACCCATTGTACACTATTCTAAAATCATGAAGTTAGAAACAATTAAGATCTGTCAATGTGCATTGTGAAATGAAATCCGATGAAAATTCTGGCATGTCTAAGAAATCCCGCATCTTCCGAATATTTCCATTTCCATTTCTAGTTTTTCTGGCCTACTACTGCCGAAAACTGAAACAAGAGCTATCAGAGTCTAGGATAAAGGCAGATGTTTCAGTCTAGAACGGTCTTGAGTCACGTAAATGAGCAAGTGTGTGCCATGATGGCAAGATCAATTCATAAATCTATTATCAAATAGAAGAGTAAAATTATATTTCAAGGGAAATAACTTGTACTAGAACTGTATGTTTATTTTAAAAGGTTTTATTGACAAATCTTAAGATTAATTATAACTAAATATCTATTATAATGCTGTGTTATTGAGCAACTCTGACATCATGAAGAACATATGCATCAAATACTCAATAACTTTATGGTTTAGACAATATCACCTTTTAATATGGACTATCAAGTTTGACAAGATGTAACATTGGTAAGAAGTTTGAAAGTCTAGTGTTAGGCTAGACAACAACATAGACTGGTCATTGCGGAATATTAGGAATAAATATTAGTCGTATTGGAGCCAATATTATTAAAAGTCATGAAACAATAATAAATATATTTTTTTTACTCAGGTAAAAATTTGTAGTAATCATACAGATAAAATCATAAAATTCATTATGATAAAATTTTAAGATTATATTAATATACAATATTTAACACAATTTTGAATTGAAATGACAAAACAAATGGAAATTTTTTTGCTAAATCATGACATGACAATAAATAACAATTTCATTGGTAATTGGTAGAGAATGAAGAATGTCTAACTTAATTCAAGGTTCTATTTTTTTTCATGGCAATATTGCTGCAGGACAGTTCTTTGGTTTAAACCAATAATTAGAACGTGGTCTTCGTAAACAAAATTTTACTGAATTTTTTCTTCACAATTTGATTTTTAATCTCTCAGAAATTTTGTGATTCTTCAGTCAAATCAATAAAATTGTCATTGTTTGATTTAGTATCTGGACTTAAATCTAACATTAGCTCTAACTTATCCTGTCTCACAATCTGTTCATTGAAATCATTTTGTTTCTTATCTTCATTAAGAATTTCAACATCACTTCCACTTTCATAATAGGGAGTTAACATATTTTGGCTTGGGGGTAAAGTAGCATCACTGTCTGAATTAATATCATTTGTCGGTGATAATTGGCTGTTGGGGGTAATTTTTGATTTAAATGATATTGGAATTGTTTTGTTCTCAGGCTGACATTTAGAACTTTCTTCACATAATATAACAAGTTCATTTGATTGGTTACTATTATCATCTATAATGATAACATCAGGTTTCCTTGGTGATGTTTTTGTCTTATTCCTTCTATTTTCTTTATTTACAGTCACAAGATTGGAATAACAGTTTTGTTGAGACAATGACAGTTGAGATTCACAAGCTTTATTAACAGAAATTGAATCACCACCAACAGAAAAATCAGTAAAATGATTTGCAATACCATCAACAGAACAAACACCTTTAGTCACATCACAAACAGTATTTTCTCCAATACCACTAACAGAACAATCATGTCTAGTCTTATTACTAACATACACTTCATCTTTTAAACTAATAGGTTCATTACATAAAGTACCACCAATTGGAAGCTTTGGACTAAAAGAATGACCCTTTTGGGAATTTTTGTCATGCTGGAATTCAACATTTTTATCATCTAAGTTTCCATTTTCATATACAATATTCTGATCCAAGGTTTTGGAAACAGTTTGATCATCATCATCTGTATCAATGTCATCACTGCTGATATAAAGTCTATAAGCTTCATCTTCCTCTTCCCATGATCTGATTTTCTCATCATCTCTTTGAAGCAAGGAGCTTAATTTGTCATCAATTGGACTTTCACTAATTGAATCTTCCATTGGAGAGTTAAAAAGGTCCATTTCACTACCACTAGCATTACTACCTTGGTATGAACTATGACATTTACTGTCAGTTGGTGATGAACTTTGATAATTACTATGACCATTGTTCTTTGTTGGCGATGAACTTTGATAATTACTATGACCATTGTCCTTTGTTGACGATGAACTTTGATAATTACTATGACCATTGTCCTTTGTTGGCGATGAACTTTGATAATTACTATGACCATTGTTCTTTGTTGGTGTTGAAAAAGGACAACTACCAGGACCATTGTTAGCTGGTGATGATGAACTTTCATTTGACAGCATGGTCACTTTATTACTTAGCTTGTTTGAGTCAGGAGATATCATGGCTTCATTATTATGTTTTTTCTCAATGTTTTGTTCATGAGAATCTTTTTTATTGCTGTTGAATTTTAAACCTTCATTAAGTTCATCACCAATCAAAATTTCTCCTAAGTCTTTAACTGTTGCCTCTGATTTTGAATAAAATGGTTTTGGTTTCTTTACTGGACTACCAAACATAAGATCATCACTACTGCTCAAACCTGATAAATAGAAACACAGATTATAATTTCCTAATTAACAGTATCACCTATATGGACCCTCAAACAAGGAAGCTGAATTAAGTTGCAACAGGTGCTCAGAGTGAGGAGCAGACCATGCTTCATCATGTGACACGTGACAGTATTGTGTATCAGAATTCTATTTTGAATCTACCTAATGACAAGAACTTCTCATAGAAGATGTTTTTCTTTTGTTCCCAATGTTGATTCTCAACTGCATCCAAACACCCATACAATCATGATTTAACTTACTTAGTGATCTTATTCTTTTTACATTCAAATTACCAAGGGAATAATTTGGTAGTTCTTGACTCAATGTAACATCTCTTGGTTTTAAAAATGAGTTTAATCTTGCCTGAACCTGTAGATGCAATAGATTTTCTTTTCAAATATATAAAATCTTTTCTTAGGTCATTAATATTGTGTATATACACTTTTTCAGTTGTGTTATTGTCTATGAATGTGTGAAGAAAATTTTATGACAAGAAATGCTGAAATATGCTGTAGGGTCCTTTGCAAAATCCATATATACTTATTTTGCTGAGATTATTCTTACACATTTTGAACTTAGGAAACTAGGAAAGTCACATAAATCAGATATCAGACATGTCCAAACAGAATTGCAAAGAAAAGTTACGTTATTTTAATTCTTACCAACATAGCATTTGGTTCTTGTGCTGGTATAACATTAGGAAACACTTCCTCAGGATTTAAATAGGACACAAAGTTTTTAATTTCACTATATGATGAATGGAGAGAGTAACAAACTCTGTGTGGGTCAGATGATTTTGTTGGTTCTTCTTTCAGTTTTTCTGAGCAGATTGTTGACATGGTAAACCACATCGTTGAAGGTCGTAAAACTAATAATTTGGATACTTCATCTTCTGTATCAAATAAATGACCACATGGCAGGAATGATTTTGAATTAAGTTTTCTCTAAAAAATAATATGTTGCCATAGGTTACTGATAATAGACTTATAAGAGAAAAAAATACCACTTAAAGGCAAAGACCTCCTTCACAAAGCTAATACTAAATACATATATTTCCATAAACTTGTTTAATTTAGTTCAATACATTCCAATATAATTTAAAATAAAGAAATCTTTTTTTTCTCAATGAACCTTATTTCTGTTAAAGTTGACGAAAGAATAGCACAACAATAGTAATAATCCACAAACCTTTAAACCACAAGCATGTATTCTAGCTGATGGATCAGTAGTATAGGCTATGGCTAAATCTTGTATTTGTGTGTATATTGAGTACTTCCAGTCAGAGGTATGAATAGGTTCATTGGTATGTTTGAATATTTCAACTTGAAGATGTTCATGACCATAATTCATAGGTGAAGCTATGTAAACAAAATGACTTTTGGAGTGTGATAACCATTCTTTAACAAGCTGTACTGTAACTTCAACACATTGGTACCGACTGGGAAAATGTAAGGCATTTGGAACACAGAATGTTGTATCTATGTATAAACTTTTGATAGGCTTGATCCTAAAAATAATAATATACAGTTTGTTGTGAAATACTTTCAAATTTAAAAGAGTTTTTCATTTTTTCCTCAAGTTTAAAAGATTAAAAGTGGAATATCAATATCAATTTGTTTGTTGTTTGTTGTTTTTTCAAAGGTTTGCATTGTGTGATCCTCAGACAACTGACTTTTTACATTAGACTTTAGAGATTTATGCACCAATACCAACCATTAACTAATTAGAAAGCATTTTACAAATCTTTAAAACACTCTGAATATGAGAATTATTTACCCAAGTTCATTGTGTAGATGAGATAAAGAAGCAGCTTTATCTTTTTCCCATCTGAAATCTCCTGTATATAATACTGTTCCTTCATTTCCTTCAAACAAAAACCTGCAAGAAACAATAAACATCCTTGATTCAGATTACCAGACTTAAATATAAAATCCAGAAATACAAGACATTTAAGTAAAGTAAGCAATTAGAATAATGTTTATAGAAGCAAAATGAAGTGCTACTGGTACAAACAATAAATAAGGCTAGAGCCCACTAGGCCTCAATGTCTACAAATTTAATGTTCGCTATAATTTTAAGTAGTTTACAGCAGCTGTTTAGAATTTCTGATAAACACATAAATGAATACTACCTCTTAGAATGGACATAAAATTCTCAAAAAGTCTCAAACTTGGTCAATTAGTGTATATTTTCATCAGTCAGACTTACCAAGTGCCATGACCAAAGAATAAAATCTCTATAAAAGACAATATATCCATTAAACTTAGTTTTATGAATTATTCCTAGTTTTATAGATTTATTAGAGAAATTTATTTATTAGAGAGATTCTGTCCTATAGTTATGACACAGGGTAAGTGGTTAAAAAACAAAGACTCACTTTTGGTCACTAAAAATTTCAATATTTGTCATTCCAGCAGGTACTCTGAGGTAATATACCTTTAACAGATATCTATTATAGTTAATATCTTTAATATCTATTATGATTAATATCTTTAATATCTATTATGATTAATATCTTTAATATCTATTATGATTAATATCTTTAATATCATTATAGCTAATATCTTTAATATCTATTATAATTAATATCTCTAATATCTATTATGATTAATATCTTTAATATCTATTATAATTAATATCTTTAATATTTAATATCTATTATAATTAATATCTTTAATATCTATTATAGTTAATATCTTTAATATCATTATAGTTAATATCTTTAATATCTTTTATAATTAATATCTTTAATATCTATTATGATTAATATCTTTAATATCTATTATAATTAATATCTTTAATATATATTATAATTAATATCTTTAATATCATTATAATTAATATCTTTAATATCTATTATAATTAATATCTTTAATATCATTATAGTTAATATCTTTAATATCTATTATGATTAATATCTTTAATATCTATTATAATTAATATCTTTAATATCTATTATAATCAATATCTTTAATATCTATCATAATTAATATCTTTAATATATATTATGATTAACATCTTTAATATATATTATAATTAATATATTTAATATCTATTACAATTAATGTCTTTAATATCTATTATAATTAATATCCTTAATATCTATTATAATTAATATCTTTAATATCTATTATAATTAATATCTTTAATATCATTATAGTTAATATCTTTAATATCTATTATAATTAATATCTCTAATATCATTATAGTTAATATCTTTAATATCATTATAATTAATATCTTTAATATCTATTATAGTTAATATCTTTAATATCATAATAGTTAATATCTTTAATATCATTATAGTTAATATCTTTAATATCTATTATAATTAATATCTTTAATATCATTATAGTTAATATCTTTAATATCTATTATAATTAATATCTTTAATATCATAATAGTTAATATCTTTAATATCATTATAGTTAATATCTTTAATATTATTATAGTTAATATCTTTAATATTATTATAATTAATATCTTTAATATCTATTATAATTAATATCTTTAATATCATTATAATTAATATCTTTAATATCTATTATAATTAATATCTTTAATATCATTATAGTTAATATCTTTAATATCTATTATGATTAATATCTTTAATATCTATTATAATTAATATCTTTAATATCTATTATAATCAATATCTTTAATATCTATCATAATTAATATCTTTAATATATATTATGATTAACATCTTTAATATATATTATAATTAATATCTTTAATATCTATTACAATTAATGTCTTTAATATCTATTATAATTAATATCCTTAATATCTATTATAATTAATATCTTTAATATCTATTATAATTAATATCTTTAATATCATTATGATTAATATCTTTAATATCTATTATAATTAATATCTTTAATATCTATTATGATTAATATCTTTAATATCATAATAGTTAATATCTTTAATATTATTATAGTTCATAAAATTCTGATCATAAAGAATAATCTGTGACACTCTGAGCAATATCAAACTTGAAGTTAACAAGGAAATGACTTATAAACTTCATAATAATAAAAACAGTATATTTGATTAAAACTGTACCATGTATTAAAATATATGATACTGAGTAGATACTATATAATAAATATACCACATAACTTACATGACAGAGCCTGGACAATGACCAGCTGGTAATAAAGTAACACTTACTAGTTTAGGCTATAAATTAAAAAAATAATTTTAAACTTAAAAAAGCTGCTTTAAATCAAACTTTATTCATTTTGCGGAATCGCAAATTCCCAAAATCAGGCCTGTAGCTGCCTAGGCTCTAAGTCTGTGTCAACTTTCAACCAAATATAGACTAAAGTCTCTATCAGAAAGCAATAGTAACTTATGTTGAAAATAAGTCAAATGACTTGAGGACATGACAGTAATGGAATTCATCTAAAATCTCATCAATATAAATAACTCTACTAAATGTCATCAGAATCTAATCAAAACTGATTCTTTATCAAATTAAAAAGTCAATTGTCACATTGTGATTCATTAAAGGGCAATAACTCTGTCAGCTAAGACTACTCGGTCATTGTTGATCAACAGTTGATTTAAACAATATTATTCCTGATGATTTAGAATGTATATACATACATACCTACATGCAAATAGACAAACATGGTTTCAAAGAATCGTATAATATTAATCAGTTACCAAAATTGAATAATTGTTAATACATGTAGTGCTTGTGATTTTATGCTTTTTTGTACAAAAATCTCGACTGAGTAAATTAATTTCTTATGAGTGAAAACACAGTAATCATAATAGAATATTTCTTTGTATATTTACCTTACCACTGACTGTATTACACGGTATAGTTATAGTACTAGGTCGTTTAATTTGTAAGGTTTTCTGTAATAAGCATTAAGATTATAAAACAAATATTTTAACTGCTAAAAAAGGGCTCAATACATCAACCGTTTAGCTATAATAATAACACATTTTCACTGTGCTCAATGCATCATTTGAAGAGTGATATAGAAATATAAAAACAGAATTTGAATCATGTTGTTACTCAGAGTTTCACGCTAAGCAGTCTTCAATCTATTTTAACTTATGTCACTAGCAGAAAATATTACAAGGGTACCAAAGGTATTAATGTTTTCAATGGTTATTCATCTTTAATTTTATTAGAAGGTTTTATAATATTGCCTTTGGCAGAAAAATTGTTGAATTTATTGTTCAATGAAGTTCTTGATATGCTAATGTTTCCCTGATGTTGACTGTGGCTAAGATATTCTTTGAATCACCAACAAACTGAACCAACCCTAACACAACTAGTATAGACAGTAACTATAAGATCAACTTACAATATATGGCTCTAAATGATGAAAACTGTAGGTGTTATCTCCCAGTAATAATACTTTAGAAACATCAGACATGTACAGATATATATTATTGCTGTAAAAAAGAAAAACTTTAAATTAGATACTGTACTTCATGAAGTTCTGTGATAGTAACATAACATCATGCGTAACCTCTGTGGTATGACCAGCAGAGTCCTCAAGCTAGACAGACAGATCTTCCAAAGAGCATCGCAGCAAATATTGTTGAAAACTGCAGCTATCTTTGTCTATGCCAGAATCTGTTAAGAATTTTTTCACAAATACAAGATGGCTGTGTCACAGAAGCGGTAGTTTGTTTTTGAAAGAATCTACTTACCCAGCTTGTAATCTTTTAGCAAATGATCTATAATTCAAACCAGTCATATGATCTAAAAATACAAACCTAACTAGTAAAATTTTTCCTTCAATTTGATGAGACACTAAATATAAAGTGTTATTATTAGACTGTTTCATGACTACATCTACAAATATTTTGTAGCTGGAGCTCCATTTTTTGTTCTAGGGCTACTATATGTTTATCATGGTTGAAAACATTGGTACCGTCCTACTTTTTTGATTGGATATAAAGATGGGAAAACACCATAAAGTATGCAATGAGAAAACTTTGGCTAAGAAAGTGCATCTGTAGGCCTAATCTTCTTTTAAATCGATATGAAACAATGAAAGCATTATCTATACAGATTTATAGCAGTTAGCAAGTATATAGCTCACTGGATAAGATAAGACTTCTGAGGCATGATTGATGAATACCATTACAGTCAAGTAACCTAATTTTGTGGAAACCAATTTTTCGTGGATTTTCGAAAAGGATTAATAATTTACATGTGCGACCTTGTGTGACCTCCGCATTTGCTTGTTTTGATAAACATGTATTATCTCTACAATATCAGCTAGTAGAATGAATCCAGTAGTTTCAAGCTAGGTAAAATGTACTAATGTATACTTTGACAAATACAAAATGGCGGATTTCACTTATTACCAAACGTCACCATTTTTTATCGGCCAAATTTCCTTATAATTTCCAAGCCGTAATCGGAATTCCAAGTGTCGTCTGCTAGAATGTAGTCAAACGAATGAAGTCACGTGATCAACTAGCGGATTCCGTGTCAGCAGAAAATTTCTATGGAACACAAAGTGGACCATATTCTTATGTTGTTTCAGTGACTTTTAGCAATAAATCACGCTTATCTTATTTTGTCAGTCACTATTTTTTTTTAAATCGTGGTTCTTTGAAGGAATTGTCACTAGTTATTGTGAATTGATATTAAAGATAAATACTAAGAAAAGTTAATTATACCACCCGGTATCCATACAACGTGTTTTTCTAGACTTATTTATAGATCAAACATTGTACACAAAAATAGGTGATGCATTCTGCCGCCGTTGCCGAGTTGGTTGCTCATGAAATATGGGTCAAAGTGAAGGATTCGTAAAGAAAATCAAAATAAACCGATTTTAATTATTTTGTAGAATATATGAGGAAACATGTAAGACATAAAAAAAAAATTCGGTGTTGAATCTTTACACCACTGTAAATAATTTTTAGACTTGGTTATTCATTTTTAGTGGCCTGTAAGTAAGCTAAGGTAGAGGTAAATAATAAATGGAAAAATCTACATACCTCTGTGACAATGTGATAAAAAGAAAACTGATGAAAGAAGATTTCCTCCATCAAATCTATCAATAGATATCTCACTATATTCTCTCATACGACCACAAAAGGTACTCATTGTAACAGCAAGTTCTAGGTTTCTTATTTAATATTTGATGAACATTAACAATTTTTTGATAGTCTGTTGGTTTCTTTCTGTATTCTTATTATTTGGCATAATCAACATGTCTAAAATATTAATTCTTTGGGATTATGGGTGATATAGGTATACAGTCACAAGAATTCACAAAAAAATCGGTGATAATTCTGAAATGTCTTCTCTAGAATCCTGTCAAGTGATTGTCTACTTTCGTTTTCTATGACTTTCTATTACTGATTTCTTTTTTCTTCTACCAAAGACTTAAGATGTTAAACCGGGGTAAGGCTATCTAATACTAACTGTTTGTACCTAACATGTTGTAGAAATTGCTTCAAATGTCGAATAATTATCTCACATTAGTACTCGACTAATGTTTGTTTTGGGTGTCCCAATATGACGGTTTGCTTACTTCCGGTAAATACAAGACAACTCGGACCAGTGTTAAAGACAACTCGGACCTGTATTAAAGACAACTCGGACCAGAGTTAAAGACAACTCGGACCAGTATTAAAGACAACTCGGACCAGTGTTAAAGACAACTCGGACCAGTATTAAAGACAACTCGGACCAGAGTTAAAGACAACTCGGACCAGTATTAAAGACAACTCGGACCAGTGTTAAAGACAACTCGGACCAGTATTAAAGACAACTCGGACCAGTGTTAAAGACAACTCGGACCAGTATTAAAGACAACTCGGACCAGAGTTAAAGACAACTCGGACCAGTATTAAAGACAACTCGGACCAGTGTTAAAGACAACTCGGACCAGTATTAAAGACAACTCGGACCAGTGTTAAAGACAACTCGGACCAGTATTAAAGACAACTCGGACCAGTATTAAAGACAACTCGGACCAGTGTTAAAGACAACTCGGACCAGTATTAAAGACAACTCGGACCAGAGTTAAAGACAACTCGGATCACTTTTTATAAGATATTTTAGTACATAGCTGGTTTATTATGACAAGTTTCATAGTATAGAAGGCCAAATCGGGATTGTTTCCGTCGAATCGAGTTTAGATCATGTCGGTAGACCGATTTTCATCGCTTAAAATTACTACAAGATAAAACTATCATGATTTAATTACGTCAAATTTATTAATTTATAATACAAATAAAGTATGACCGTGGTCGACCATCACCAATCATTCAATTTTGCTTAATATAGCTCTTTACTGTGAAGATGATAAATCTCTACGAAACCTTCAACGATAGTGGGCGTACGTGTGGGCGTACGTGATCTCAAGTGGTTTGGGGTCCCTCCTCTAAAAAACATATTATGTTCTTCTGCATTCTGACCCCAATATTTAATGCCTGTAAATGAAAGATTTAAATATTTTCAGTATTTTTTCTGGGTGTGACAGTCTTCTTAGAGCTGGGACTTTATTCAACCAGTCCCTATGGTAGTTGAGTCACTAAAACGGAAATCATCATCAATTGAACATTTTGTAGTATCTGACAAATCGTGTCTCATTCAAATTCGATTGATACGAGAAAGAGAATATGGAAACAGTAGAATGCCCCCAGAGAAGGTATCAATTGAAATAAAAAACGTATTTTATTGTTTAAGAACCGTGACAATATTCTCACAGCCTTTGGCTGTAGCCTATCAGGCTACATGTGATCGTGTCTGTGGCTAGATTTGCCCAATGTCATTTTTTTATTCTTTGATATGACATAAGAGTTGTATGCAGATCAGATCATTATTGCAAACACTAACATAGGTTTCATTGACACGTGAACATGCTCGACATCAAAGTTTTGATTTGATTTTGTTGACAAGTGGTAGACGTATTTTAATCAGGTTTACCGACCGCATTGAACTTATGAAGTTCGAAAGGTAAAATTGAATGTAACATGCTGCAAATCGAACACGACCGCCTCCCTTTAAATGATATTACCATCACACACAATCTGAGTACGACGAAGGAGACCACGATAAGTGGCTTGATATTAGTGATATATTGACCACATACTTCTCGCTGTTGGAGTGATTAGCAACATTAAGGTCCAGGTATAATGACCATTCCCATTCATTTTAATCAAAAATAGACAATGTCACCATAGCCGCCATGTTGTTGCTATGGAATTCGTACAGTCGTTATACTATAGCCCCGAAATCTGTTGAACAAGGAAAGTCAAATTTGAAAAGAATAAACTCTACGTAAGGTAGGTCTTAAATCGTCTTACAGCTTGTAATCACTGCCACGAAAAGGCTGCAGATGTGAAGCATCTTTGTTAATAACTGATCTATGATAATTGCTTTACAAATGGTTCAATTTCTTCTATACATATAACTTTTCAAACAAATAAATTTAAACATTCAAGTAGAATTGATGACGATCCTGACTTTTCGAGCCGTTATTTTTATTCCGACTTTTAGTCCAATTTTTCATTTAATTGCAGTCAAGCTCCAAGTCGGATTTTCTTTCTGTAAAATGATAAGAGTTAATATTCCTTCAAGTACAGATTTTGTTTGTGGAGTTTCAAGAATCGTTTGTTAAATTTTAATTACCATAGAACTGTAGCTATAACTTAAAATTTGTCTCTATTGTTTTACCGTTTTCATTAGTCCACATAGTGTAGAAAAGTAGGGCGTAAAGTCCATTCATTTCATTTCAGTTCCATTTTTTTTGTAATAATCTGTACAACACCAACTAATTAAAAAAGCAAGACTGGACTCTATCCATCTATAAGAATCCGATACAGATCAGTTTAATGTAAATAGAATTAGGTTCATTTAAAGATGTGTTTTTTTTCGGATAGTTATTTCTCTATTTATAACATATTCCTTCGGGTGTTTACCATACCACTGTAAATCAAAGATATCTTGCCAGTCAAGGAAACACACTCCCACTGGCAGCTGGCAGAAAGGATAATGCATACTTTAATGACTGAAATACAAATTGTCTCATTTTAATGGTCTTCATGATGCATTTGTAGTTTTAATTTATTGATATCTATATTTATTGTCAGTTATTTATGAGTTTTTCCACATTTTTTGAAGCAATAGCAATAACCCAAATAAATCAAATTGTCAATTCACACTGCTGTCATGTCTTCAATTTTTGAAGATATTTTTTTTATTCGAAAACTCAAAAACCGTTCATAGAAAAAAACGTATTCTAACTTGACCAAGAAATCATCAATATGAATGATCGTACCAAATTTAATAAGATAAAATCTGTAGTTTAAATTGTGTTCACTAATAAATTGTTACTCGTTTTCGTATGCCAAGGGCAACAAGTCCAAAACAGTTCATTGAAAAATCGTCAAATGCGAAGTTGACCAGGATCCCATCAATATAAATTATCACATCCAAATTTCATTAAAATGGTTAAAAATTATAGTCTCTATTGTGTTTACGCACAAATTTTAACGCGTTTTTGCTAAGTCAAGGGCAGTAACTCAAAAAACCTTTCATCGAAATTCGCACTAGTTAAGACCTCATCAATATAAATGAATTTCATTAAAATCAGATAAAAACTGTAGTCTTTATTGTGTTGACGGACGGACCGACGGACGGACGATGAAGACTTGATTAAGACATTAATTTTTCGGTTTATTATCCCATCAACCACACTGGGAAAAAAACGAACACACTATCTGAACCCAAGCAAATTTTTAACTTTTAACTTGATTAACCATAGGTGAAATTTGGTGTCATAAATAGCTAATCAAACTTTTCAATCTATATTGAACCCTGGCCCACAACCCATAGGCCACCCGCTGAACTTCAATTTTCACGCAAGAACAAATTTAACTGAAATACGAGTATTTCAATTTTACCGCATGTGAATAGATCGCAGTATATTTAAAGGGGAACAGTCGGTATTTTCGGGGATTGATTTGGGTCTTTATTGTACTAAAAAGCGCACGAAAATCGTATAATCCCTTCAAATATATATACCTCAAACTAAAAATTTCACCGTCTCACTAAAATTAGAGTCGAATTTTTAACTTTCAAACGTGAATAATTATGGATACACATGGATTTGAAGGGTTAAATTCGACGATGAGCTGTGAACACTATTACTGATTATGTAAGCTAAAAAAAAATCCTGTTTCTGAAACTAAGGTATGATTGGTTGAACGGATATATTGAAGGTGCTCCTTTAAGCATGTCATGTATTACTAACTAAATTTATATTGATACAAGATTAACTCGATTAACAGTAGAAATACGATCATATTTAAACAATAATGTTATTCAATAGGATTAAAGTGGTCGTAACATATTTATTTGAATTATGTATTGTGTAGATTTGAACAAAGGTAATAGGAAGTGATTAACACACAACCAACAATTGTTTTTAGTGAAACCTTGTTGATTTTTGCGAGGCACAAGGGAATCTTTAGCTGACAGAAAGGGTGTACACGATGAAAACCTAATTTTGGAAATAGTGTCCACTGAAAGCATTAAACCAATAAGAAACAGCTAAACATAGATAAAGTTATATACTATGATCACCTATTATCAGGAATTAAATAAGTTGTGAAAGTTGTTAAGTGTAAATGATCTTCACAGACCTTGTAATAGGATTAATACAAGACCACAACAAGAGGATTACAGGTGCTAATAGACCAGATAGGCTCTACGGTACTGACCGGCTCGAAATTATAGATACAACAGATCATAGAAGAATTCGCTCCCTCTGCTTTCTACCATATCGATAATATTGCGTTGAAGACCAAGTCAGACACCGTACCTCATCTATTCACAAATTAATAATAAACTCTGCAAACTAGAAATGAAAGTTAGTTTTAAGCCTTACTCTCTACAAACAAATATGTCGGTTCTTAATGCACCCGCGAGCAAAAACCGTCGCATTTGCTGAGGATATTGCAGATCACACTATTTTCGATTAACCATCACAGCAATCTTTGAGATATGGTTCTATAAATGTGTTGATCTTGCTACCATACAATGAACGTCGAATTCATCTAAATTCACCAACAACATCAAAAAACTAGCTCAGTTTTACATCTAGTATCTTTTTTATAATGTTTATTGAACTTTTGTACTATTAAGCAGCCAGTTTCGGCGCTATCTTCGTTGTAAGAAATCACAGAAACGCATCGTGAATTAAAATGAGTCCTTGATTTTGCCTAATAACTCAATAATCCGATATTATAAAAGTAAACGTTTATTTGTCAAGTAATCAGTAACCCGTAGTTGGCTACTCTGTCAGTTGTGTAATAATAATAATGGGATTAGTTGACGTCAGGTGAATTGTTATTAGTTGGTATACAATCTGGGAGTTTCGTTGTATTCCCTAGTGATCCACGTAACAACTATTGCTATAGATACCCTTTTCGTGCCGGTATTTAATGTAACTAATTTGCCATTTACAATCATTCTAAGTAAGTACTCTCAACTGAAAGGTGTCTAATAGCAAAACATTTCTTATTCGGATTTAATTGTTGATTACTTTCTATTTTTGGTAAGTGTAGCTACTACCTTTTAATTAATCAATTAATAACTATATTAACATAATAATATGTTGAAATTGATAATGGAACTACCAAATACGATCTAGCATTACAATGTACTTACTTAATATGTGTATGTTATTGTATATCTCTTATAACATAGAACTAGTTGTAGGAGCTCTCTAGAATCAGAGTCGGGGACTGCGAACAATGTATATATTTTTATAATAATATACCAAAAGGCTTTGAAGTAAAAATGATATTGGTAGGCTACTCCGGTCAATTGATACTTTAATTTAGGAAATCTCAATTTTTATCTTAAATTTATGAATTTTAACCTTGAAAAATACCATTTAATAAACATTTAAAACATAATCCCTCAGCAACCTTCAACCCAAATGATAACCGAATCTAGTGGTAATCAGATGAGATTGTTATATCTTCATGGACTCTTTTAATTTAGTCAATGATCTAGACAAAGCACCTATCGAATTTATTTAGATCATCGTAACTACATGCCTCATGATATTTTCATTCCAACCGATTTTTTTGTCTTCAAAAACCTAACTAATTAATCTTCTATTTTTACAGATTGAGCTTTCTATCACAAAACCTTCCTTTCCATCATGTCATCTACAGAGGCTGAAATTACTGCTGGAAACGATGCTGTGGTGCCTGAAACACCAGACACAACTGAAACTACAGAAAAGGTAAAAACTCCAGAGCCAGCCGAAGAAACACCCAAAAATACGAAAACACCCGAGCCCACAGAAGCAACTGAAAATACATCAACTGAAACACCTCAGCCACCCGAGGTCATAGTTACAACTGATAAACCGGCTACCCCAGTTCCATGTGAAATATCAGAAACAGATAAACCAGGCGAGCAAAACGAATCGATAGAGAAAACCAAAACCCCAGAGCCAGCAGAAACAACCGATTCTGCACAGGCAGAGAATCCCACTGAAGAAACGCCACAAAGCGAAACCGAACCACAGCCGGAAACGGCTACAAAGGTAGATACTGTTGATGCACCAATAGAAAATCCTGATGATGCTAGAGCAGAACCAGAAAATACCAACGGTGAAGGTGGTGATTCTATTAAAGATGTTGATGCTGTAGTTGATGAACTTTTACAAGATAAGGAGCTCGAAGCCCGACAGAAAACACCAACCGAAGAAAGAGCAACTGATGTAGACACAACTGATGGTTCTAATACTGGTACTAAGGAAAATAGAAGTACCGAGGTGGAACCGGAAACACGTGGAGAAGATCGATCTGATGCACCAAAGGAAGAAGCAGAAGGACGAGGTGATGATGGTGTGGATGACCCCGCAGCTGCTCCAAAATCTTCCATTGGAGACCATGATGCTCAAAAAGATGCAATGACCAAACTTGTAGACGAGAAGACGAAATTAGAATCTGAATATAACGACATGAAAACCCAGTTAGATGCATTGAAGGACAACTACACAAAAATGGAAGTAGAGGTTGAAACAGTGAACACATCTAGAAAAGAGCAAGATAGTTATATACAATCTTTAAAAACAGATATAACCAAGTTGAAAGAATATGAAGATTGGGGTAAAGACAACGAACAGAAGTTTAAAGATGTTCAAACTAAGTTGACGAGTTTAGCAGAAGCTGAAGATAGCAAAAACAAAATGATACAGGATTTGGAAAAACAGTTGACTGAAGCCAAAGACAAACTGAAAAATGCAGAGCAAAAGGTTGAAGAGCAAGAAGCATCCGCAAGTAGATCAGGCGAATCAAAAGAGGGAGAGAAGTCCAGAACCTGCAGCATTATGTAAAATTATCAAAAATGGTATTTTCGGACGGGTATCATTTTAGTTCATTAATCACAAAATTGTCTGCAATCATCCTTCGAAAAATCTATCAGATGAAGTAACCTAACTGTATATTGTTTGAAAAATTCATATTTTGAATGATCGTCTGGCTCTTCTGACTTTTCGGATGCTCAAGAGGCTTCTGCAGAGATGATAGCAAAACTTTGGTGTCAAATGATCTTCACAGAATTAGGAAAAAGAATTCATAAATTAAATGATCGGAGAGGGTGAGCTCACCCTGATAAACACCCACTACAACAATCGTCCGGGTTTTATATCTAATTGAAAAACTTTTGAATTCTTGTTAATAGAATCTACACGTACTATTATTTGTCTTTCATTTACATGTGACATTGTAAATTTAACTGTATATATTGATTCAAATAATTTATTTATTCATACTGTATGTTTTTTAATATTTATATAAAATTATTTCATCACACTGTAAGCATTTTACAATTTTTTGAGTGTACGGAGCATTGCTTTACTCCTAATGTACCCACGACCAACTGGAGCTGACCATGCTGCTCCTGGTGTGACTCATGAAGTTGCACAGTGGTATACAGAACGGAGGCATTATCTCACCTTTTTCCATTTCCATCTGTCATTGTCTTTAACATGCACAACCTACAGCACATTCGGCCTCTCTTCATATTCTTATCCCAATGACTCCACGCTCTTACAATGCCAACAATACCTGCCTTCTAAAAAAATGTCCAGCATCTTTCCATTTCACATGGATCGGTATTTTGTATGTGTTTTAATCTCCATGTGACTGAAAAAGAAGGTTTGGTGAAAGAAAATTCCAAGCGCAACCAAGGGCCAGCCGGAAGTAAAATATGACCCGAAACTGGAATAGCTTATATTGTGAATTATTAAATTTTATACACCGGGCGAAGGAATGAAACGGAGGAGTTTACCAAAAACAAATCCCATAAAATACAGTTGCTTTCGATCACTGTAATTTGTGAGACGTAAACAAAGCCTTCAAACCACGATAACGTCCATCGCTTAACAATTTCAGTTTGCACCATCAAGGTTACAACTACTCCGATCACGAATGTTAATAAAATATTGAAATGATCTAAGGGAGGTAACAACTATATAAGAATTAGACTACAACGAAGGATACTTAATAATAAAAATGCAACTGTATCAAATGGAACTTTAAAAAGGTTTTAATCCATCATCATGTGAGACACTGTTTCCTTTAAGCATATTGATCAATGAAATCAATTATACTTTTTGAACGAGCATCTTATAGAATTTTGAATTTAAGTATACATGAATATTAATTGAGGACCCCACAACCATATTACTGAAGAAATAACAAGATTTGATGTCGTTGGTACTGATAGTTTTCGTTCGTCTTGTATATCAACGTGTGTTTTATACCAAAATGGACAGCAATTTTCCAATAGAAGCCAAACGAAGATCGAAAATGCTACTGAATTTATTATCGAAGAAAAATGTGTCTTGTCAGCATGGGTAGAAGTTTGTAAATTTAAAGAAAACACATTCTCACGATTATCGATGAAAGCCTAGGTCACGATACAAACCACTGAAAAAGCTACATTAAATAACTTACGTTAGAATATTAGTGAGGGCTTCTTACTGTCCGTACTGGACCGGAGACTAGACCTGTGAGCCGCCGAAAATCTACGGCTTAGCCGTGCGCTATTACTGCTACAAGCCACCGTGTTCTTTATTTACGAAAACATCACGTATTGCCATGACTTGTAAAAATTATTCTTTGCTGGGTTGGTGAAGTTAACTTGCAGTCCAGATATTGGAAGATCCAGCTAAAGACTCTTTTAGAATTTCTCAAGACCTTATTTGGTTACCTATCATATTGCGAAACCAAGTCTTGAAACTCTTGCATTGTGGCTTGTTCTCACAAACACATTGTTAAATATTTGGAAATTAATATTGTCTGTAAATCTAGAATTTTGAATCCCATTTAAGAAAAAACTTTCTACTTGTCATGTAGTTGTATTTTACTTGATCTGGATTCAAATGTTATAATTAAGCATTAGTCTTTTTAGTTGACAAATTCCTTTGCAACCAATTTACATTAGAAGTCTGCGATTCTTGGGTAATGAACGGTCATAATTAGTCTGAGAAAATCATCCACCTAGTATAAGGTGCACTTAGTGCGAAAGGTATTTTTTGCCAAATCTGCGGCTAGCCAGCTGTTTTGCCAAGCCAGTTAATCTACCAAAGGTGCTGGCTTAGCTGCAGTCAGCCAGCCAAAAAAAAACAAAAAAAAAATAACCTTAGCCAACCGAAAATCGGCAATCTTGCTAACTCACTGGTCTACTGGAGACCTTTGTTTCAACGGTCTCGTAAAAGACTACAAACACACACAGGGAAGAGCTTTCTGAGTTAGCCCAGAATAAGTTTGAGTACTATACCTGCAGTATTTACAAAACTTTCACTTTCACCCTTTTTCTTGTGGCCAAACTGTGTTTGCCCAAACCCTACAGCCCGTGTATTTCCCAATTACGCAGGTCTACTTTGGGTTTGAAACAGGTGTCATTCATGTGTGTCAACAGGCTAATTACAAAAAATGACAGAATATTATTTTTTTTTATAAAATAAAACAAAGGAATTTAATGTACATGCAGCTCTAGAGGTACTCTTGATAGCAAAGTCAATGATGTATTTCCAGAATCTCACATCGTCAAAGTTCGGTTATGTGAGTTAGGTTATGTCTCTTCCTTAATCCAAATCATGGAGCGACGAACTCTCAATATACTGTATCAATAATACATTTCATATATTCACATCTCTTGTGTTCAATCATGTCTAGGTTTCTATGCTCTCTCTACTGCATAAAATATCCAAATCTCTAATGTTCCATGAATGTAACCACAGTGTCCCGTACAATCGTAGAGTGGCTCGTAAAATTGTTGAAAGAATTATCCAGTTTCTTTAAGTGATTTATCGCTAAGTAATATTTATGAAACAATAAACGATTACTGTCTACGATCGATTTTCATGCATAGCTTTTAATTTTCACCACTCAGGCGCTATTAGAAGAACTAGCATGAAGCAAGCCCGTTTCATTGATTTATCTCGGTTAAACATACGCTAATGTTAATTTCAAACGTCGCTTCCATGTGGAGAAATACTACCATTTGTTACTCGAAGTGCGTTCATAGATGTCATTGAGGTTCTGTTATACTCACTATACGACCATTGAGGATTTTTGTTCCTTGACGTGTGACGTTTACACAGACCATGTAACATAATATTTAAAGATTTCTTAAAATGTTTGCCATATATGGCATATAAAAAGAAGTTAACACTGAAGGTGGCGTAATAGATATATTGAGCAAGTTCCTGGACTAATGTTTTATATAGAGGAACAGCTTGGTCAGTCTTTTCAACTATGATACGTTCCAGTCGAATAGCATGGCTAGGTAAATTGAGAACCAAAAATGTAGTTGAAACCAACAACAAAATTTTTGTAATTTTCATTTGCGACTTGGCTTTAACTGGCGTCGATTGGTGCGATTGTAATATAAACCGTCTCTTATGTTGGTAGAGATAAACACAATAAACAATCCGTATATTCATCACAGCTATCATCAGGAATGGAACAATCATTGTAATTACAGTGTCCACCCAGGTTACGAACGACATCAGATCCAAATAACTCTGATCGGGAACACAGAAATTTCGTCCGTGGAAAGAGGCCACAGTTGTTGTCCATATTGCAAACGAATACATTAAAGAAGCGAGAATAGCAAGAACGATCACAACAGTTTTCTCTGAAACTTTCGCTAATATCATCGGTGCTTTCAGTGGATGGCAAATAGCAATGTATCTCTCACAAGTAAAACACACCACATACCACACAGATAGGAAACTAGAAACGTACGTGGTAAATATCACAAACCGACAGAATTCTTTTGTTAGCATGATAGGAACGATCCCATCAAACCAAGAGATGAACAAAGTTATCAAAAACAAATTATCAGCACATGCTAAGGCTCCTAGGTATCCACTAGACGACAAATGACGCTGATGACTGGCGGTGAACACAGCCAATGCCAAGAAATTACCAGTTATTCCAACTACTGAATTAGCTGGGATGAAAATATTCCTTATCCATGTTACCACAGCATGAAAAGTTACGTCATTTTCCATAAATATTTCCGTATCATTAAAATCACTTTTATTGGAAAAAAAGGAGTCCATGTTGTCAGCAGGGTCGTCAATTTTGACGATCAGACATCTGAAATGAAGAGAAAAATTAAGATACTTTTCATGTCAAATCGCAGTCGTGGAGATCCCCAAGCTTCTGGGTAGGATTTTGTCTCACAAAAAACAAATCCTGTATAAATTTGGTTCTGAAAAACAACAATACCTCGACTTAATTCATTTCAGACAGGCCTTTTATTTTTACAATATTGAAATTCATATACGCTCGTATGAATTCTATGTTTTATGAAGTACAAGCAATTTTCCGAGGCAATCATTTTGAATATACGAGAGTCATCATTCATTTCATTATTATCCAAAGGGCATTATGCAAGTAGTATTAGGTATTTTAAGTGGTGTCTTGCGAAATAGACTACGATCACTCTCTCAGAATACCTTATACCACAGGGCTAATACATAAAGCTAGTAATGTGTATTTTGTCTCTATATAAGTGTACATGTATTGAAACTGTTCTGATTGTGTAGAGTTCTGAAGGATTGTAAACAATCACACTGCCAACAAATAGCACCATTAGCTCTTTATGGTTACCGCCGTTAATTATAACATTGGCTAAACAAGATTAGAGTTAAACGTTATTATTAAAGTTTATTTTAAGAAACAATTTTCTTGGGTCTTGATACACATAGCCTGTTATCACAGAACGAACTATTATTCAAATAGAGGGCTTCTCATTTCTTTCTAAAAATAATAAAAAATCTGTTAAAAAAGAAATAGATTTTTTCGCTTCATCAATTAGACCTCGATTCGATGTTATGAATGAAGTGGGAAGATTTCCTAATAAATATGTAAATAAGTCTGTCGACAAATGATCTAATTTATTTTACAAGTGCAATTTAGATTGCGATTGAAAGGCTTTTATATCAGATTGGAAACTCTGTTATTCTGAATTTTGACTGTGATTTGTAGACAAGTGAAATATATTGACATAATCTAGGCATATACATTGAAATAGTCCAGTCTTAAAGCCAGTAAAGATACAGATTGACAAAGTCCAGTTATATCTTTGGTAGGAATACAGTCTGATATAGTCCAGTTAAATCTTTGGTTGGGAATACAGACTGAAATAGTCCAGTTAAATCTTTGGTTGGGAATACAGACTGAAATAGTCCAGTTAAATCTTTGGTTGGGAATACAGTCTGATATAGTCCAGTTAAATCTTTGGTTGGGAATACAGACTGAAATAGTCCAGTTAAATCTTTGGTTGGGAATACAGTCTGATATAGTCCAGTTAAATCTTTGGTTGGGAATACAGACTGAAATAGTCCAGTTAAATCTTTGGTTGGGAATACAGTCTGATATAGTCCAGTTAAATCTTTGGTTGGGAATACAGACTGAAATAGTCCAGTTAAATCTTTAGTAGGGATACAAAATGTCCCCGAATTTAAGTGGCTTGTTGTGATTCATGGCAATGTTACGTCTCTGACTGTATATAAGTCGGACAGATATAATTATCTATATAATTACCCACAGTTGGGTGAAGATGCTGAATACAAAACACTAATGTTGAAAATATATGGCTTTATACAATGGTTTTATGAATTATGACACAAAACACTCTCAACCATACAACGTGAAAATGGCAACGGAAAAATATATACGTGTAATGGCGTGGTTGACTGAACTAATTGGCAAAAAACTACTCACTGGAAGTGTATTAATTTGATTGGCCAAAAACAAGATGCCCGACTATCAGGTCTCAAAAAATGCAGCTCTTCGTAGGGTAAACCGTCTGATTTCGTTCAGTAGTAGAATTCCGTCCACTTTCAAGCGATATTTCCTACACAAACTACGAAGTCAAGTTATATAAACACACTCAAGTTTACAGAGTCGCGGTGGCTCAGTGAGTTAGACGCTTACTCGCTAACTTGAAGGTCCAGGGTTCAATCCCTGCATAGATCGAGATAATACCTTCGGATTTTTCAACCCAGTTTCCCCCCTGTCAGTGATGCAGGTAAGAGGGGCTGACATGGAAAAAGCGTCTAGTCGTTCGGATGGGACAATAAACCGAGGCCCCGTATGCTATTGCTACAGGCTGTGCAAGTTTAATATCAATCGACATTTGGAAATCGAAAAGGGCAGGCTAATGCTGCTGTCCTGGCAAAATTTCCCTCACTGCACCCTGCATGGCGTTGTCCGTCTTCATTATCCCACTATCATTCATTCATTATCCCATTATCCCACAGAAAATTAGGACGTTAAACTCCATTCATTTCATTTCTATCAAGTTTACAGCAAGCAAATAAACAAGACGAGAGAGAACACTTCATATATCTTTACGACAGAAATTGATATTGATATCTTACCTTTTATAATTTCTAAGATTCCTCATAATCATATTTTTTCTTTTTTGCTTTTGAAATCAGACTGGAGTTAAGTATGTAAAACAACAGTTCGAGAAATTTATGTATGCAAGACAGCAGTTCGAAATTTTTTTTTTAATTTAATAATTAGTCTAGAACTGGTGATACCCGATGACCAACTGATTTTCACTATATTTGTGAATACGACGTCCGCTCTGGAGACTCCCAAATACCAAATATAGTTTATTTGAAACATGTATCAATCTACGTAGTTGCAGGAAAGACAAAAAGTGTTCCTAAAATTGTTTAAACAAAATGCGGACAACTACAGGTTATACAAGTACTCAGAAGTGCACAGTATTTTTTTTTCTTATCAAAATATATCAAAATATTGAAATCACAAATTGTCTAGAACACATTTCAGTCACATATTTTCATTCGTCTTTAGTAAAAGTTCTGAAATTCAACATTTACTTGTAAGAGTATAAGGGTTTATCGCACTTTTTCATCAAATAAAAGTCATTTAGGATAAAATTAATTTTCAAAGATAACAAGATCAAGTGAGAAAACATAGACATTCAGAAAATAACGTCTTACCTATGATTAAGTCTTATCTTGTGTAATGTTTCCACACCTCAACTCCAAATCATCTTGATCGTCATGATTGTATCTCAACAATCAATAATACAACCACAGAGTATTTCTACTGGTAGTGCTATTGGTGACTGTATTTATGTAGCCAGCCAATACAACACCGGAAAATTGCGGGGTGATATAACCTAATGATTATAATCAACTCACTGATCAAAATATTTTGAGACCTTGCGATCAGCCACTGGCCCTAGAGTATCACGGAATTGGATTTAATGTCGCATTCAACCAATGGCCTTAGAAAATTATTTTTGTTTTGTTTCGAAATAAGCATTTTTAACATTTTTCATAAACGGGAGCCAGACAGTTCATTGGACCAATGAAATTAAAAATAATAATGGTAATCTCAGAACAATACTTCAAAAGAATCCATTAATAATGAGTTGAAACTGGAAGTATCAGAGCTGAAACATTAGTCCAAAGAACGGTCATTGACTCTGCTGCTTAGTGTAGATTACTAAAGTTGTGATCATGACACAATTCCTTTTTACCAAGTAATAAAGGACTACGATTTTATTTTAACTGTAACGATGTTAACCAAAGAATACGACACAACAATTACCCGAAATAAAGTATATCTTTCGTATACATTTGAAGCTATTAGATCTTTTTTTATGACGTTGCTACGCCTCTCCCACCTTCCCACCCCCAAAAATTCATTAAGTGCTGTTAACCTCAACCCTTCCACCACTGTATGACGTGATACAAAATATGTGGGTTATGAAGTCGTCTAATAAGCCTTTAGTACTCATCATCTTTTGTCATAATCATTACATGCATCACTGACAGTGACGACAAGAGTCATATCCTACGATTATTTAATTTCCGATGTATGTAACTGTCCTGAAAGCTTTGTGGCAAGGGAACTGGTCACGCAATAGATTGCAATTTTCAAGATTTTGACGCAATTGTCTTCTTGTGATAGATGATTATAATATATATGGTCACAGATATATGGTCACTCATGCCGTATAAATATCATTTATATAACATTGAAGGCCAACGTGTGGTGAAGTTCTATCAGTTCTATTATTCCTATAGACAGTACAGGTTGTAATCAGAACCTAGTTATAGTAATAAGAACCGAAAGGTATCAATTTCGATATAATTACATAATTTACTGCGTTTTTAAAATAAGGAAATTACGGCGAAACGTCCAAAGTGTGCAAAACAAATAGTCCCTTGATAAGAAGTATCAAAAAGATTAACATATTTTCACGCAACGACATTGCATCAGGCTTGTACGAAACGTTTCAGAAATAGTTTACTCTTCGTTGTCCATCAGTTACTATTGCAATTTCCCTTTTATCGACTTGTTGAAGAGTGTAATTAAATTGGTTTTAATTGTAATAAAAGCCCCCCCCCCCCCTCCTCACAGCCCCGAAAGCAATGTCCTTTCTGAGCTTTTGTAATGACCCTCTGAGTTTTACCTTAGTATTTTGTATATGTAGGATGGTTTATTATGCTATGCACATGGTTTAAATTAAAGTATCTATGTTTTATTCATATATTTTATATATTTGTTTGTACTGGTTACCATTTTTAATTAAGGAATAGTTTCATGTTTATTATATAGTTCTGCAACCAATTTATTCATAATTCTTACATTTATAACTCTATTACATAGTCCAGTGGTTCCCAACCTTTTTCAGCCTTCACACCCCTGAAGCAATCACCTGGACCTTTCACACCCCCAAAATTTGTTTCATCCAAATTTCCAGCGATGTGAGGTGCTCTCTAAATTCAAAATAAATTCTTCTCCTACACCAGATGGCAACACCCCTGACACCATAGTCCCACACCCCCCATGGGGTGAAAACATGACATAGTCATCCACTTACATTCACATATATTTTATTACGGATTCCTATAACCCTTTTGCGGTAAGGCATTTCACCTGGACACAGGTTATAGTTAAACCCCAATTAGGGTAAGCTTTATTTGTACTTATTTCATTCATGCTCAATCTATTATTTCAATTAGCATATTCATTAATTTAGAATGGCATAGAGTTGGTTTTGTGTTGCCAGTCGCCGGTATTTATTGTATGTTTATACTTTATATTTCATACAGTTTGTAAGCTTTTATGTATTATAAGTATTGTCATTTGATATATCTTTTATAGTGATAAAGTTCTTCTTTTATTTTCTGACTTGTTTGTAACTATTTCATTTTGTACTTTCGGGTTTTTGTTATAATGTAATGAATCTTTATGATTTGAACCCTTGGTGTGGTGCTTTAATCCCCATCACCCCCTCGACAACAGACATTCGAACATTTTTTATGAACAGTGTGATATTTTTACGAACAAAAAAATCGATTTAAAGCAGACCGAAAGGTATTTCTCTTCGAGTGGAAGGTTGGGGGTACGAATAAGGTTGAAGTTAATTTTATTGATTGATATGATGATGAATATAAAGTGTATTGCGTGTATAAATGGATCATGCATGTCGCAATCCAGAAATCAGAGCTGAGAAAATCAATAAAAACTCATAACTGCTACTCCGGAGGAGTAAATGCTTTCTGCTCAGTAAGATAGCATTCACCGATTTCAGAGACAAGACCCAGGTGTTTTCCATGAAATGTGGACTCACTCCACTAAAACATTTCATGCAAATGATTGTAATAGTCCAGGCTATTTTTAGACATCTTATAATCCGGGCTATTTTTAGAAATCTTCTTTCTCTCTCCCTTTGGGGTTTTTGCATGCCTATTTTGGGGTAAAATATGGTCTAGATTTGGAATTTGATGTCTGAAATTGCATTATCTTTCAGATTTGGTGAGATGATAAGAGACTTAAAGGCGGAAGGATAATTCTAAAATTAGTCGTTTAGTGAACCGCCAAACTCTAACGGATGAGTATAACCGGTAGTCGTCTACTTTCAATTTAACTAGCTCAAAATTTTCATGGTCATCATATAATGAATTTTTTAGGAGACATTAAGGATTGGTCACGCTTTCATTCGACATATTGGAAAGCTTTCAACGAGATTTCTGGAAAAGTCGTGGAAGGTTGAATTTCGTGTTTTAAGAAATGAAATGAAATGAAATGAAATGAATGATGAACTCGTCATCCTTTTCGAAGTTCAAAAAGCTTGTATTGTTTTGGTTTATGTATCGCACATCACTCTGCTAGTGGACACAATTATTCTGAAATAAAGTCTTCAGGCTATCAGCTCTTGAGTCAAAAACTAAAGACTTTATTGAATTTAAGCTGCACTTCCGGAACATCTGATGTCATTGTTCGAAGTGTCATTCTGAAATTCCACATGTCTTATATTCTAAATGTGGTATTTTCATTATCTACGTTTGATAGGTGTAGATTGTGACTGTGGTGATAATCTCAATCTTGTATTGTTTTCTTTCTAGGTTGTTCAATGACTTTAAGTGTTTGATTATTCCACTTACTATTGCGCAATTTATCATAAAGACAATCGGTTTAAAATAAAGTCGCCAGACACTGATTAAAACACGATGTTTTCTTCTGTAAGCTCTACTTAAAAGTCAAACCATACAGTAAGGTCTGAACTTAGCCAGAAATGTTTTCACGTGTCAAAACTATTATTTAAATTTTATTGATGGTAGCTTAGCTCTTTTCTTATAGTAAAATAACATTGAAGAGAATGTTGCATTACTTGCAACATATACGTAACGCATGCAGATTCGGATTAAACTACAGGCAAACAAGGCAGGTGCCTTTTGGACCATGGAAAATTCGGCCCTTGAAACATTTTGTAACAGTAAAAATTTTCAAACAGTTAATAAATTTCCGCAGGTCCATCGAAAATTGTACTACTAGGAGCGTGGTGTGTGAGAATCGACTAAATTGTCTGAGCTTAATGGTGATGTCGATATCGTGCATACGATTGATCTGATTGATTGATGAGCTGATTGATCTGTTCTTGAAAAAAAAAGATCGTAAACTTCCTGCCATAAAATTGTAATCACACCATGCCCCTTCCTAAAATAAGAAATTAGGCCCTCTACCGTCGTTTGCCTACGGCCCAACAAGTCCAAAATCTGCCAGTGACATAACGGCGTATTTATATTTACAGTGGATCTATATCTACAGTGTTACTTTACATATAATATGATCATCCCTGCATTTGTAACAACTTACAAAATATTCATACAGCTTTTGTTACCAGATATTCTTTCGTAATTTGTTTTATTTTTGCAAAATATTCCTTGCGTCAATTGTTACATTTTGCAACATATTTATTCATTAAATTATTCGTTCATCAAGTGTTCGTTTAATAACAATATTTATTGTATCAATTGTTATATTTTGCAAACTATTCATCGCTTAGAATGTTACAATATTTGTACATTGTATAGTAAATATAAAAAAGAAATGAAAATGCATCAACATATTTTGATAAGTGATAAGATTATTCTAAGCACAATCCTGCTATTTACATAGAAATAAGAGTAATTTCCTAACCCAGCAAAATGGACTGAAAATATTACTAATTGTCTACCTAGAACAGATAAACATGCCAATTTACATTAGCCTCCTGCTATGTCTAGTGTTGTGGTGTTGACTTTCTTGGTCTAGGATTTCCATATTGGTCTCTTCTCGCTATTGGATGTTAGAGAATATACACTTCTATAGACCAAGGTCATAGGAAGAGAGATTTGTTGGAAATATAAAAATTGATATGTAGAATGTAGACTCTCCAAAATGCATATGGAGTGAGATTGGAAACTCATTCACAGATACGAAGTTGTTTGTTCAGAAGGATAATCATATTTGCATGACCCTCTCACCTTCACCTTTAACACTTAATTTTTTAATAATTCAATACTGTGTCTCAAACTTGAAACCACAAATAATGTCGAATCTTCTTGAAATCTTAACCAAACAAAAATAAAGGCAAGCTCTCTTAATGGCCAATTGTTCATCTGGATTGCTGCACTAGAAAAAAACTAAAACGATGAATGATTTGAATTTGAACCTCGGAAATCAAAATATAAACAGAAGAAAGACTAAATTGCCAACCTTTTAATAACCATTCAGCTACCGGAGATAATATTAATGGACTAATAATTCGGATGGCAAAGATAATTTGCTGTCTGTGGTAGGAAGTAATTTAACTATCTATCAATGTGTCGTTTATTCAGATCAACTATGATAAAAGTCAATCAATTAGATACTGTGGTATACGTTTATAGACTTATTATCTCGGGATAATATACTTTTCTGGTCATAAGTCACAATATATCAATATTGATCTAATACTCTTCAGATGACTCCGTGGTCCTTGGTATGCACTCTTAGGGTACCTGTTCCGATTTTCTCTATTTGTCGTCTTAGTTGCATCGACCAAATCAAAATCTAGAATATTATTATGCTTATGGTCGAGTTGCGAGAGTTATACTTATATCATCTATTGATGTAATATATATGAAAGATTTGTCGTTGGATGAACTTATGCCTGTATTGAGATAGATTTTGTTTTTCATAGATAATCAATCACTGCGTCTTGCGTTTTTATCATCGGATTTGATTAGGATGGAAACAGACCCATATCGCCAATAATCACTCATATTGCACTTGTAATCTTGTTCTCGTACTGGGTGTAGTGTTATTAGTACATTTTAACATCGGTTAATTAAAGTGACGGCATGTGAATGTCTCAGGAATAAAGTGTTCTTGTGCTCTTGGATTCACATTTTCCATCAAGGAACTAAACTGTTCAGTATTTCTTCAAGTCTTCAAGTAGGTAATTTATATAAGAATGTGTCATCCGTGTATGGTATCTAGCAAAAAGTAGCCTACTATTTTTTATGATAAATTCTCGTTGAATGAACAATTTAAAAGTGTCAGAAAATTCTTTCCTTTCTGGAAGTATGAGACCATGACTTGGATCATATATTGAATATTTCTATGTCACTGAGCGTGGATCTGCAACCTTTACAATGATGAGATAAGATATTGCAAGTTTTTTTAAATAAAGTATATTTAAATATTAAAGCTCAAAAGCTACCCCTATTTCACATAGTTTCATGAAAGGACGTAAGAAGTACAAAAGTTCGAAAAAGTACTCAAATTGCAGCAAATGGATTTCGTTTTTGAATTATTTAAAAACATATCCAGTCAGGGAGTCAGAATGTAATATGCTTATTTACAATGGGTTTCTCGCTTCATTAGTCACATTTCGTCTGTAAATATCATATGAATTATTTGGTCTTCAGATCGATTTTGATTTTGATCATGTTCCGGTTCCCTGATCTGGTTAACAATGCCTGTCTCAAACAATCAATAGAGTGAGTCAGATAAGACATGGAACTTCCTGTACGCTGGCCCTTTAATCCAGATGTCTGAGTTAAACCTGGTTTCCTCCTGTCACAGAAACAGGTCGGAATGACAAAATAAACACAGAACTTGTTTTACAAGTTTGTGAAGGATCCCTCGACAGTTAGAGATCCTAAAAGACATTACACTGACCAACAAGGAAAAAGAAGTAAACCCCTCTAAACCGGCACTACCTTGGCTACCAATGGAAATGCCGATTTAGAGGGGTTCCTTGATTTATTGCACAATAAGCGATTCAAACAGATTTAAATCCCTGGTCATATGTCGTCCTGAAATCTAAAACTTCATTTTTTAAGTTCTGATTAACGATAATTTTATGGACTTGTGTGTTGGTGTAATTTCAGTTAAACGAGTGACTTACATTTATATTTCATGACAGTGATATCATTCAGTCGTGTTTTAGTAATTAGTGACTATAGAATATAGTTAATAGAACATTATGAAATAAGATGGCACTAGATCAAAACATGAAAAGAAACGTCAACCTTTCAATCACGGTCTTACATACACATGTCTTCTGGAACTGCTTCGTTAAATACAGTTAATACGACGTATTCTGGACCAATTGCTCTT